TGGCTTCGAACCTACCACCTTCAGTGTATGTGACTGGCACTGTGACCACTCTGCTACAGGCACTGAGCCGAATTTAAATAATTTTTTATGTGCAAAAGATTTAGTTGACATTTTGATTAGAATTATATTAATTCAGGGATTAACTCATGAAGTAATAGCCACTTTTACCTTAGTAATTTCTTCTTTTCAAAAGTGAAGTGTCTTGATTTTTTTTTTTTAGGTCTTTCATCTCTCAGGATACTTTGTGTAGAGCTTTTCATTTTTAAAGCTTTTTCTTAGATATAACATGTGAGAAGTGAAGGAAAATAGTGTAAGGGGGGTGGCATAGAGTTGTGATTGTGGATAATTACTGTCTTATATGTACTATCTTATGTATATATTATATATCTAATATATAATTTGTTATAGATAATAGATCATTATGTGCTGTAGATAAAATTATTGTATATTATAAAATTGCTACTATACAAGTTGGGACAGTTAAGTTTGTGAATTCATCCTAGGAACCATATTACTATGGTCACTTTTGAGGTACTTCCCCTGGCACTGATGCCAGCACCTGGTTCATGCCTCAAAGCAATTTTGGAACTCTTTCTGGAATGGCCATCAGAGCTGTGGTTGTATGAGGTCTGACAATTAAGTTTGTAAAGTCATCCTAGAAAAAGTGCTACATACGTCATTCCTAAATATCACTACGGTCATCAGATGGCCCAGGGAAGTGCTTGATGATGACTGTAGATAGTCAGCAATGAGGTATGTAGCACTACATCTAGAATGAGTTTGCCGACTTAATTGTCTGGCCTCATACATGGGGGCAATAGGGAGAAATTTGCCCAAGATCATACAAGCCAGTAAGTTGTAAAGCCTAGTGTCATAGTTAGGTATTCTGATTGCAGAGTTCATGTCCATAATCATGACACTGTGCTTTTACCAATGATAAGAGTACGTCTTATAAACTTAATACAGTTGACACCAGTGTAAATGATTAGGCATACCAAAAAAGGAATCATTTTAACTTTTACTTAAATAGCCATTCAGTTTAAGATTATTTCATCAAGGAAAAGAGTAAGGTAAAGGATTTTATGAAATGTTGGAAATACAGTGTCAATTTGTATCTAAAAGGCAAAAGAGTTTAGAGATATTATGTTATATTGTAGCTTTCAGAAAAAGTCCTACCCTGGTAACATTAGTGTTTCGGCTTTTGCTTTCACTTAACTTGACTTCAGGTTCCTATTTGTAGGAAAGCATTGTGTGCCAAACAGAAAGAATGCCTATAATTTTCATTGTATCTATTCTGTTAGCAATCCACATAAACATTTGTGAAACACCTACTACATTTTGTGTAACCTTTTCTCTAAATCCGTGATGCTCAACCTTCCTAATGCCACGGCCCTTTAGTTCCTGTGGGTCACGACCTACAGGTTGAGAACCGCTACTCTAAATGGATGGTCATAGTTATATCACCTTAGGATAATGTTAGCTACTATAATAACTAAACTGGAACACACTAGTACTTAGCATAATAAAATTTTATTTTAAATTTATGTAATAGTTCAGTGCAAATGCTCAAGTTGTTGAGTGACTTGTGTCCTTTTAGTGACTCAAGGACACAGATGTCTTCCGTTTCATGAGGACTCACATGTAGCCTGCTGAAGGGAAAAGAATGACTGGGAAAAGGAGACGTTACTTTTGCTTATGCTCCATTCGCAGGAACTAGTCCTATTGGTGTGCATGTTGACTGAGAAATGTCGTTTTTGACTGGATAACTGCCTCCCACCAGTAACTCCCACACTGTGGAAAGGAGACCATAGTTATTTGTGGATGGCTAGCCAATCTGCCACAATAACAATAATGTATTATTTTTGTGTGGCTACTGTAGTAAATTACCACAAACTTGGTGATTTGAAACAACAATAAAATTTATCCTCATAAAGTTCTGGAGTAAAGTTGGAAATGAGTTTCACTGGGTCAAGATCAAGTTGTCAGCAGGGCAATACTCCCTCTGGAGGCTGTAGGGGAAAATCTATTTCCCTTCCTTCTTTCCAGACTCTAGAGGTATATTTGTTAACTCTTGGCTCCTTCCCTCATCATCAAGGTCTGCAGTTGAGCACCTTGCTTCAGATGTCACATTGTCTTCTCTCAGTCACGTCTCCCTCAGCATCCTTAGAAGGACATGTCCTTAGAAGGACATCTGTGGTACCATTTAGGGCCCACCGAGACAATCAGGATAATCTTTCCATAACAAGGCCATTAATTTAATCATATCTATAAATCTCTTTTGGCATGTAAGGTGACATTCACAGGTCTCAGGGATTAGGGTCATTATAACTTTGAGGGCCATTATTCAATTTACTACAAATAATTGACATTTATTGAATACAGACTACATGCCACATATATTCTTACAACTTTACATGTATTCATTGATTTTTTTCTTTTTTTGGCTTTGTCATTATGCACTTTACTTGTAAACTTGCCTGTTTTTCTCAATTAGGGTTTTTTAGGGGGGACCATCTTCTGAAAGATGAATTCTTTAATGTCTAAAAACTTTATCAAAAAGTTGTACTCTCAGAATTGGAGTTTTAGAGATTGTCTAGCGTAACCTCCTGCTCTACAGTGTTTAAGTGTGCTAGGTTTTTTTCCCTTGGGCCTGTTGATTTTCATATTGTTACCTTTGTAAATTGAGTATGTACAATTTTTCTTTGAATTTTTTTCTCCACCAAAATGTTGAATTTAATTTGGCCATTCTCATAATCACATAGAGATGACTTAATGGGAAGAAAGGATGCATTTTGGATCAATATTTTATGAGAAAGTTATAGCTGAAAACCTAAAGCCAATAATAGGTCTTAATAAAATGAAATGAATAGTAAACAGACAGTTGTTTAAAATATGCTAATAATTGGATGAAATTAAACCAAATGCTGTTATTCCTGATTTAAAGTTGTCATGGAAAGAAATCACTTCTTTACTAATATTAGGTGTTAAGGATACAAAGATGATTAAAGAATAAGGACTTTATATTCTAGTCAGGGCATAGACAGGCAGACACTGATATAGCATAGTAAGGGCTGTGATTTGTACAAAGATAACTGTAGAAGTTGTGAAGCTTCTAGTCATAAATACCAGAAAGCAACCTAAACAATGCAGGGAATTTATTGGTCATGTATAGACAGGTATGTGTGAAAATTACTGAGGCAGCTCAATTATGTCATTAAATGCTCTCTTTTCTCTTGTTTTTTGCTCAATGCTTTCCACAAATCACCTTTATTCTAAGTCTGGCTCTGTTTGAGTTTGCATTATTACTACTAAGAACAACTCTCAGAGTTACCACCAGAAAGAGCTTTTGTCCTCTAACCATCAAACTGCAGTCCTGGCTTCTCTCTGGCTAAACTACTTCAATTGCATGTGCCTTTTCACTAGATTGAAATAAAGTATAATTTGGGGGAGGGGTTGAAAAAATAAAAGTCCAGGACCTCCAAATACAGTAAAACCTCTGTAAATCGACCACCCCAGGGACTCTTACAGACTGGTCAACAGTGGGAACTTGCATTGTTACATGTGGTACGTGTCCAGTCCATGGTCAGCTGTGGAGGGTCTGCTGTGTTGAGTATAACCGTGAAAATTGGTATTTGTCCCTGTATGGCTTTATGATTTCTAATATGGATTTCTTCTTAATATACTGAAAATCAGGAGTTCTTAATGGTGGGGAGTAAACTCTTAAGAGGATCCTAGTTCAGCAATTTTCTTCTGAAGTTTTGAAAGCCTGTTAAATTCTGTTCTTGCTTTGGAGATCTTTGATTTTATGCCGATGTCACTGTGAAAATTAAGAACCTGACATATGGACCATCTCTTCTCCATTACTTTTCCCCTTGTACCTGGGACATTAAGGAGGGTTTTGATATCGGGTTCAATTGATCATGACTGGACTACTTCTAGTCTCAGGAATTGAGCAGTAATTGGGGGAAACCTACTTTTTACCTTGTCACTAATACACATTTAATCAGGCTTTTTATAGTATATAATACTTTAAAAACTGGATTAATAATACAAAGACTGCTCTTATTTGCACGTAAGCACTTGCATTTGTTCTCCTGCACAGTCTCTGGTTCACTGCATTTGCATTCACTGCAATTCTGTTTCTCTCCATGACAAGTGTTCATTCAGAAGCCGCAGCATGTGACAGTACTATAGGATTGCCAGATCTTATTTTAGAGAATTTAGGCAGGGAGGGATCAGGAGAGAGATTATTTGCTAGTAGCTTGACCAGGCTCAAATACAGCCCCATTTTGCATCCTTACACAGTTGGAACAAGGCACTCCAATACAAGATAAGCCTGTGTATGTGGGCCATCTGGTAACCCAGTACTGCTAGAGTGTAGGCCTCTCAGCTCCACAAAGAGCCTGTGGAGATACTTTGTACACACTGGTGTATTAGAGTTCCTGCACTAGCTTAAAAAAAAAATTACTTCTTTGTGCTAAAATTATATTAAATATTATATAGTAATAAAGGAAAAAGTAATATGTATTTACTAGTGATGAATCATACTGACATTATCCAAGGCATAGTAGTAATAATAGCAAATTCTTATGTAGAGATTTCTCTGTGCCAGTCACTGATCTTAAGCATTTTACATGTATTAATTCATTTGACCCCTTACAACAGCCTTTTGAGATAGGTTATTATTATTTTACTGAGGAGGAAATTGACACATGGAAGTCAAGTAATACTTGCCCAGGCTCACAGAACTTAGTGAAGAACAGAGTTGAGAATTGATCCAGAAAGTCTGGGACCACAATTCATACCTTTAATTGCTATGCTTTCTGTGAAGTTGGGACTGAAATTGGTTATGGTTTATTTACAACTTATTAATGATATAACTCATTAATTATGGTATACTTGTTAATAAGTGTAATTATCTTATTATGTTTTGAAATAAATGAGCATTTTGAAACCAGTCTTACCTACTAAATATTCAACATGCTTGTTTTTTATTCCAGGAGAAGACTTTGCAGTTGTACAGCAAGAAATTATTATGATGAAAGACTGTAAACACCCAAATATCGTTGCTTATTTTGGAAGCTATCTCAGGTACATTGTTTCCTGTTTGACAAGCAGTGATGATTTCATTACCTAATACATTTAACAAAATAAAATTAGTTTTAATAATATGTTTGTAGTTTTCTTTGTGCTTTGAAGTTTTTATTTATGACCTATTATGTTAATTCTGTAACTAATGTCATGGTCTTGTGCTTTGAGAATTCTGGATGTGGTTTCTCTAAGGAAGCTGGCAAGTAAAAACTGACTTGTCTGGGTGATCTTCCTGTGGTAGACCAGGGATCTGTCTGTGCCACTCGATTGCCCCTTCCTTCTAGACTCAGGTGAACTTAGAGTCTGGACCACCTCTCCGTGTTACGTTTTTAATCAGAGACTTCTACGTGTGTTTCGTGTTTCTATTCCGAGTGCTGCATGTCTGGGTTGAGTCCTGCCTCATCCCTTTCCTTCATTTTGTCTGAAGGACTAGGACCTATAATTATTTCAGTAACTTATTTTTCCAAATCCTAAGGTGAATTTAAAAGAACTGTGAATTTTCCTCCTCTTGTTTTGTTGTGGCAGGATCAAGCCAAGTTCCCAAGTCACATTCCATAGGGGATCACCTCAGGGTCAAATCTTGTTTTCCCCTTTACTTCTGTATGCACCTGTGTGTTGAACACTGTGCTCTAGTTGTATTTAAGCTTCCTCCAGAGGGAAGACTGGAGAACGTTTTTCAATAAAACGTAAAAAACACTCATATACTGTACCATCCATTATACTGCAGTTTATTACAGACGCCCATTTTCATATGACCTAGCTTACAAAACACTTCTCCTTTGGGTGCAGCAATAGAAGAGACAGGGGAATTCTGCTCTCTCATCTTTCAGGTTATGAATAGCCAGCTAGACCAGCTCTTCTTGGTTCTAGCCACTCTTTGATTGCCTCACTTCAGTTAAGGTGGAGGGATGGGTTTAATGGAGTTTTAGGAAGTTTACTAACCCTGGGTCAATGACCATTATACATTGTGAAAGGTTTCATTAACAGCCGATTTAAAGCTACTTTAGTGGTGAGTGGTTTATCCAGCAATCTAACATCGTTTCTGCATCAGTTTGTGTTAGGGAGCAGACCCAGCACAGGCAATTACTGTATCAGTTCAGAGAAACAGTCTCTTAAAAACATTTAAGTCCCTGCTACCAAATAATTGATTCCTGCCAAGATGGTGAAAATCACTACATCAAAACAATTTGTTTTATTGCTATTAGTCCTAACCAAATGACCTAACTAGGCTCAATTAGGGGAAGCATTACAGAATTCCCCTACCACTACCACCCCTGCCTCCCCCCGACCCCCAGGGCAAGCTGGCCTTTTTTAAAGGGAGTTTTTTGTGTTTCCCCTGGGATATTAATAAAAGAGTATTTCTCAAATGTGGTCTGAATCTTCCAGAACTATGAGCATGATCTTTTCCCCAGGGAGATAATAATGTCTTTGGTAGTTAAGAGCTTGAGTTCTGGAATCAGACTGTCTGGGTTGAGTCCTGGCTCTATCACTGATGAACTATATGACTTATAGTTATTTAACCACTGCCTCTGTTTCCTCTTCTGTAAAAAGAGGATTATTATATATCTACATAATGGGATCACTGAGAGTACTTACTGGGTAAGTATGTGGAAACTTGTGAGAATAGTGCTTAGCACATAATGAATGCTCAGTAAATGTTAAACTGTGTTACCGCTACTGTTGCTGCTGCTGTTGCTACTAGTACTATTTCTTAACTGTTTTTAAAAGACTATTATTTTAGTGCCACATTGGATCTTTCAACAACACAGTTAGCAATATAAGTCTATAGTAGAGGTTATTTCCATTTTCTAAATAAAAATGCTTGAGAGTTTAACATCAAGATATTATTTTGTAATTTTGTTTTATTCCAAATATAAAGAATATAGAAAGAAAAACTGCAAAGTAAAACAGACAAAATTAAGGTCTTTTTTTTTTTTTAGTAGAACTATATTTAGTGTTGTGTAATTTAACATTAGGAAATACTGGTTTAAATATATGATTTTATTCTGTAACTAGTGTAGCTGATCAAAGTGACATGAAAGCAAATAGAGAACAGCAAGTGATCTTCCCTTTGTTTAGCTCTTTTCTTTTGCAGAGGTTCTTCCCATACTCTCTTGAAGTTTGGACTCAGTCAGATTTCAAGTGGGGATTCCTAATGATTAGACTTAGGGTGTTAGAACTTGCAGGGACTTAGAGATCTGTCGTACAGCCCACTCTGAGTAAACGCCTTCTTTGCGTTACCCTCATTCTCCTAATTAGCACTGGATTTCACCCTCGCCCTACGGGTATGCAGTCTCATGTCTTTTCGGTATACCATATTGCTTAGCCTAGGAAGGCCAGATTTAGTCTCACAGGGAATATGGCTTCTTAGATCTTTCTCTTTACTGAATGATTTTACAAAAGGGGAATCTTGTTTGTTTGAAATTAATAGAAACCTTTTAAAATATATACTATTTCCTGTGACTTTCTTCCATCCGTGTTGTTGCCGTTTTTGTCTGTGATAACAAATTTAGACAGGATTGAGGAAACTGAGTAAATGTGGTTACTAATTTCACCTTCAGGGAATCATACTTCGCCTGTGAATTTTCTTAATAGATGGCTAGCATTTAATCACACTCCAGAAGCCCATCTAATAACAGGATGGCTGTGCTCACTTCCAATACTGACACTGAGCTCTTATAAAGGAGAATACCCGGCAGTCTTCTTAACAGGGCCTTCCCCATTCTACTCTTCAATGTCGTTAACATACATACAGCAAGAACCAGTCAGTCAGCTTTTCTCTGCAAGTAAAATATAAAGTAAACTGTCTTGGTTTAATGTGTATGTGTATCAATAGTTGTGTTTGTGCATTTCTAAAACAAAATACTTAAATCGTTGGAGGCCTGTTCTTTACTCTCAGTAGAGCTTACCTATTGTTTCTCTTTTGTGGAGGGAGGATCTTTTATTTTTTTTTTTCCTTTTTGAGACAGGATCTCCCTCTATCACCCAGGCTGAAGTGCAGCGGTCTGATCCTCAGCTCACTGCAGCCATGATCCTCAGCCTGGCTAAATTTTACATTTTTTATAGAGACCAGGTCTCTCTATGTTGCCTAGGGTGCTCTCAAGCACCCAACCTCTAGTGATCCTTTTGCCTTTTTTGCCTTTGCCTTCCAGAATGCTGGAATTACGGCTAAGGATGAGTTTAACTTTCCAGTTCCTTCTAAGTATTCCTTAGCCCAGCATATCTTTTAAGAATAAGCTAAGAGGTTCAGCGCCTGTGTGTGGCTCAGGTGGCTAGGGCGCCAGCCACATACACCTAAGGTGGTGGGTTCAAATCCAGCCCCAGGCCTGCCAAACAACAATGACAGCTGCAACCAAAAAATAACCAGGCGTTGTAGCGGGTGCCTGTGGTCCCAGCTACTTGGGAGGCTGAGACAGGAGGCTCGCTTGAGCTCGGGAGTTGGAGGTTGCTGTGAGCTGTGATGCCATAGCACTCTACCCAGGGCGACAGCTTGAGGCTCTGTCTAAAAAAAAAAAAAAAAGAATAAACTAAGAAATTTGAGATGGTGCTTTCCAGTTTGAACTCAGTACATGTAAAGCTTAGGTTGAAAAACAACAAGTGACCCTTAAAAGATAAGCCAGTAGAAGATCAGATTCATATAATAAAAATTGTATTTAGATCAGATACTTTAAACCTTTGAAATGCAGAGTACTAGTTGAGATGAACACGTTTTATCTCATTACAACAACTTGTATTTGTAAATCACCACCTTTTATACCATTACACCACTGCTTACAAAATGTCTTACATTGTTTTTTAGTATGTAGAATGTTGTATTGATTTTGCAGATAAAAAGATAGACCAGTCTATGCGTGGTGACTCATGCCTGCAATGCCAGCACTTTGGGAGGCCAAGGCAGAAGGATTGCTTGAGGCCAGGAGTTCGAGACCAGCCTGGGCAATATAGTAAGACCCCATCTGTATAAAAAATGTAAAATTTGCCAGTTGTGGTGATGCACACCTGTATTTGTAACTACTCAGGAAGCTGAAACTGGAGAACGATTGACCCCAGGAGTTTGAGGCTGCAGTGAGCTACGATTGGGCCACTGCACTCTAGCCTAATACAACAGAGTAAGATCCTGTCTCTTTGGGGGGAAAAAGAGAGAGAGAGAAAGAGAGATATGATACCTAGCCTTTGCCTTTAATAGGAGAAATAGGCTTGAGCAGACTATTACAACACAATATGCTGATTTCTTGGTATCTACAGGGCATTGATTCTAGAATCCTGGATACCCAAATCCTCAGATGCTCAAATCCCTTATATAACCTATGCACATTCTCTTGTATACTTTAAATCACCTCTAGATATAATACCTAAGACAATGTAAATTCTATGTAAATAGTTGTTATACTGTAGTTTCAAATTGTTGTTTTTTTATTGTTATATTGTTATTTTTATTGTCCCACCCCCCCAAAATTTTTGATCTCTTATTGATTAAACCTGTAGTTGGTTGCACCTGCAAGTACCAGACCTATGGCCTTCTGAGAGCTGACTGTAGTTACAGTAGGTAAAGCTGTGGAGATTTAAGCAAAAAGGAACTTTTTATGTCTTAATTAGGACCTATAGGGATTGAGCATATTTTTGAAAGGTTTTAACAGTGACCTAGTATATTCTGTGGAGGAGGTTGGATTTGAAGTATAAGGGATTGAGACAGGGAGTACAGTGTACTTATAGTCCATTTATTATAGTAATCCAGGAAAGAGATTCTTGGATGTACAGAAAAGTTACAAAGATAGCATGGAGTTCTGTTTATATCAATCACTCAGCTTCCTCTGATGTTAATTAACATTTTTTTTTTTTTTTTTTTTTGAGACAGAGCCTCAAGCTGTCCCCCTGGGTAGAGTGCCGTGGCATCACAGCTCACAGCAACCTCCAGCTCCTGGGCTCAAGCGAGTCTCCTGCCTCAGCCTCCCAAGTAGCTGGGACCACAGGCGCCCACCACAACACCCGGCTATTTTTTT